AATTTCAAAAGTAAACTTTGTAGAATTCCAATAGACCAAAATTTTATTATTTTAATGAAGCAAGTTGCACTTTCGGAGATGTTCCTGGCAAATAAGTTGCACGGAATATGCCTGCCACATATTGTCGTCGGCCTCGTTTTGAGGTGTGAGGTTGCTGCGTAACTAAGGTACATTAATATTGCCACAGGGATTGTGAACTACATTATCCTGGAGTATTGAGGCTATTCTACCGTTCATTGTTGAGGCCAGCAGATTTATGGAACATTACATTGATAAGCACACATTTTTTTCATTTCAGAAGATTTCACATCCCATATGAAAAATATGGGATGTAAAATCTTCCGGAGCTACTGTATTCTACCGTATCTATGTTCTCTGTAGGGCTTTCATATTGCAAATGTTTCATATTCATTCTCTTTTCTAGCAACTAAAATATAATCAATTATCCAGGTAAAGTTACGATTTTTTCTTGTAGCTTACTAGAAAGCGAAAGATTTTGTCCAAAATGCTCTCAGTAGAGTTTGTTGCTATTTCATGCTTCATTCTATTGGTACAATCATCAAAAATGGTTTCGGAATTGTTCTATAATGCCAAATTTCCATTGGTTTGGAACAAAGCTAGTGCCTTGCCATAAATTATGGTTCACATAGAAATCTTAAAAGTTCCTATTTCTAATGACAAGTTCTCGTCGGAGCTCTTCTTCCAGTCGGTTCCACTTCTCATTGTCAAAAATGTATCTGAAGCAGTATTTTGAAACAAAAGAATATTTGTGCAACTAATCGCCAGGAGCATTTCCAAAAGTGCGCATTGCTTGAAATCATAAAATTTGGTCTGTTGAAATTCTACAAAGTTTACTTTTTGAGATTGTTGACATCGTTTAGATCAGATTATCGCAATTTCTTCTTGCAAAACTATGTGAAGTGCTCAGAAAAGCTTTACCCTATTTTTAACTTTCATCACCGAATATCTGTGATTTTAGGATTGATTAGAAACAAGAAGCAATAGAAGAACTTCGCATACGAACTTGCTCCTTCGTTCACGCAATTTTTTTTGATTTTCCCGAACCGTCTTTTTTCTGTGAAAGCCAGCGCTGTAGCGAGCTAGGTGAGCTGTTTTAGCAGTTACGATTCGGTGTATCGTTAGGTACCCGCTGAAGCAACCAAGGGGCGTGGCTTAGAGTATACCACTAATTACTGGGTACCTAACGCCCGCACCTCGGATGGGTACCTAACGCCACGCACCCCCGTAACGGCTATGTTGGTTGTCCCGATCGTGGGCTTGGGCTGCCAACTTAGCGCGACAATCCTTCATAGCTTGTTTCAGTAAAACGATTCTGAAGGTACGGACATTCCAAAATGAAGGGACAGAACTTTCGCTAGCTTCGTGATCGCGTACACTCTTGAGGATGGAGGTTATCTTTCGGTTGTTCATCCGGGTTGGAATTCATATTAGCAGCCGTGCAACGTCTTGAACATGACTTCGCTAATTTTGTTCACCAACTTGTCGACTTGCTCTCCTTTTTAGAGTTGCCAAATCTTGTTTTTTGATTATCTAGCTCTCTTTATTCTTACACGGTGTTGCGTCTGACTATGCTTAATATCGTGTTTGAATAATGTTAGTTAGAGCACTTTTCTTACCTTGATGTCAGTGTTTCAAGAAGGAAAGTACGCTTTGTAATAAATGCACTAGTATTACGATCTTTCAGCGGAGTACCTCATAGTACAAATACAGTTTCGCTACTTACTGCCACTTTTATCTCAATCCTAATCTTCTTCTAGTTATTATGATTTCGCTAAGAATGCATTGAGTATTGCACTATCCATTGGGGGGCACGCGTTATGGAGCAAAGCTGCGCCGCATTCCCCTGCGGTATATCCCGAAGGCCGATTGCGTTGCGTCGCCTTCAATTACAGCCGCAGGAGTAGCGCTGCTCCTGCCAGCGGATAAAGCCATTCCCTATTACTACGACCTGATATATTTTGAAACTGTATAGATGCAATAAGGAAAACAAAGAAGACGGCAATTCATAAGATTAAGAAAATAAATGAATTCTAGGGATGAATAAAAGTCTGAATCTGAGATGATCCAACGCTTGATTTCAGTTAAAAATGTTCAAGAGAAGTGGAATACGAGAATATGTAGAGAAAAAAGAATTTTTCCGTCGTGAGTTCCCAAGAGAAATCAACTTACTCGTCTTTTACTTTCTCTTGGCTTGCTTTGCAGACACTTCTTCCTCATACTGTATATTTGATTCGCCCTTGAGATGCGTTTCATTTACATTTTGATCTCTTCATCTGTGGAGGATGACGAGAATGGCTCAATCCGCTCGTTAGCGCTAGCTCTTCTGCGACTGCAATTAGGAGCGACGCAACGCAAAGGGCCCTCAGGATATACCACAGGCAAATGCGGCGTAGCTTTGCTCCATAACGCGGCGCCGCCCTATCCATTGACCTAGAACGCCGCGATCGAGCAAGTAAACTTCTCCAATAAAGTATTACTCATTTTTTCAAATGAAACAGTCAATCAGCTTAGTGATGGCCGTCCTCAGTATCTCGGCGTCTCAAATCTTATATCGGCAACCACTCGAAAACTTTTCTCCCCTTCCTTGCTCTAATTTTGTAAAAAAATCAGTGAGGGACGGAGTGCAATAGCGACAAATTAAGCGAATGCATGAAAAACTTCGCTGTTTGTCGCAGCTCTAGGGATTTTAATTCTTCTTGAAGACATCGTAAATAGAATTGAGCTGTGGATCCCTGTTTCACTCTCAGTGTTGTCAGTCAATTCATGACCATCAAAGTGGTAGCTAGACATAAAGATTCCCCATAATGTCTATCCATCAGTGAAGGTCTGAGGCCAGTTTTGAGGTGTGCACTAGTGCGCAATTTACACACTGAACGAAGTTTTTGTTTGCAAACCTGTGTACACTCCCTGAGTTTCAGTGTGTTTGTTCTTAAAATTTTCACCAAAATCTACTTAAGCACATTCACAGTATAAATCTTATATATAAAGCTGAATGTCTGTATGTCTGTCTGTATGTCTGTCTGTCTGTATGTATGTACGTATGTTCCGAATACAAATTTTTATTTCTGAACCGATCGGGACCAAACTTGGCACACATATACTTCAGGGCAGGGAGCGTGTCATAGGCTACTTTTCGTTATCGATCGATATCGATTTTATTGATTTTTTGCAAAATTCGAGCTAGAGGGCTGGGATTTGGCAGAGGGGGGTAATCGAGCATGCTGATCACCCCGAAGGGGTGATCAGCATGCTCGATTACCCCCCTGTGCAAAATCCTAGCCCCCTAGCTCAAATTTTGCAAAAAATCGGTAAAATCGACATCGATCGATAACGAAAAGTGGGCTGTGACACGCTCCCTGCCCCGAAGTGTATGTGTGCAAAGTTCGGTCCCAATCGGTTCAGAGATAAAAATTTCTATTCGGAACATACGTACACGGGTCTAGCTGGCAGGCCCGGCGGAGCCGGGCAAGCCAGCTAGTTCACTCTATAAATGCAAAACGTTTTAGAACCCCTGTCGAGAGCTAAATTGCTTGCAGAAATTTTTCTAACAGGCTCGAATCCTCACACACTCCGTAAATATAGTAGCTTTCGTGCTTGTCGCGATATCGACATTTTCTCTTGGCACTCTCGAAGGAACTCGTCAAAGGTACCATTCGATTGCGTTGAGATGTCTATGGAAACTCTCACAAGGGAAAGATACTTGGTCAAAGTGGCGTTTCCATATAAAATATATGCAGTCCTATAAAGCATGAACGGTGATTCCACATCTGCTTCTGGTATCTGAGACGGGAGCTATGAAATTTTTTGAAGCAAATTTTGAACGCACGACTACATAAAATTTCAGGACTGCAGTCAGTGAGCTCAAATGGGGGGCCGTGATTATTGTCAGTTTATGCAACTGATACATTTAATCTAGTAAATTCATGGAATCCATTACTCCTTTCGAGCTTAGGAAAGACCTCAAAACCTGGTTCTATCTTGGCGAAACTTTTCGAATTTTTACTTCAAAAATGCGCAAAATTCCTCTTTAAGAAGCGCTTTGCAGATACGAAGGCATATTTGTAATTCAGCGCTCTGTGCTATATAAGGCGTATACATTTTATATAAAAACGCCACTTCGAGCAAGTATCTTTCCCTTGTCTGAAACACACTTTGACACATCTGTCAGGACAGATTTGCACTTTGAGGAGTGCGAGGCACAATCAGATTTTAACAAATCGCTTTTGTCAAGCTATGAGTTAGCTCTTTTCTAGACGTAATTCCTAACCTTATCCTTTCTCAACAAAAAGTTTTGATCAGATTTTTCTTCATCCAGACATAAAGGTAGAGAATGGGGAGGGCCTGCGCTTGCTCGTCAATGCACAGTTTACGAAAGTTGGCCACCACTCACCGGTTGCTGTGGGAAGCCTCAGTTGAGCTGATGTCTCGAACTGTTCATGAAAAATGCATGCACATTATTTTAAGAGATCTGCGGATAGCGAAGGAAGAATAGCATTCTCCGAACTTCCATTGGCGTATAGGCTAGTCCCTGACGAAGGCGTGTGGTGTCTTCCGCGGAGAGGGTGTGAACGCATCGCTCGAGCCCTTTCTTCATTAGAGCTAACCGCTTGCGTACTCCTCGCTCCATAGGCAACCGTCACACAATGCAAATGGCCACATCGGCTTTCATGGGCACTTTGTAAGCAAGACACCGCGTCCACAACGTTTTTTGTTTTTTTCTCTGCTATCCGACTGCTTCTCCGTCGCCAATCCTCTTTTTCTGTTTCGTGTAGGTTCGCAGGCCACCGACGACCATGCGAGGCTGCAGCCCGGCGGCAGTGGCTCGGCTGCGGCTAGGCGGTGAATCGATGCCCGCGGTAGCACATAATTACAGTTGCAGGCGTGGCGTTTCACTTGACTAATGAGCATGCGAGACGAAACCGGAAACTCGACCGGCTCTTGACTTATCACTTTCCCCGGATTGCCTCTCTTTATGAGCAATGGTTCGCATTAGTGAGATGATATTGCTTTTTCGCTGCTGCATGCGTTATCCCTCATCAATCAAGCACAGAAATAATTACTGCTATTTATTTAGTGTTGAATATATATCTGGAGGTTTACCTCGTAGACACTGTAATTCTTGCACCTTCTGAACATTCCGCTGTTCCTCGAGCTGCAAATTCCAATGGTTTTCCTTATCACGGTGTGTGTGCTGCGGAATTAGCTTGAGAGGTACCATGTATTACATCTACATTTTGCAAAAATAACGCGCTATGTCAGTGTACTTTTGCAAGAAAAATCCGGAATTGGTGCAGGGATATAGACAAATCCTTCATATCACTGAAAACGAGCGTTCTTTCACTCGAACATCACGAAAGTAAAATACTCTTCTCGTAAAAATCTTCCTGCCGTTATGTTGTCGGATGTTTAACTCTTTTTTTTTTCTCCGGGCTTAATTCCAAGATATTCCTGTTGCTTAGCGAATTTGGCTGGTCCGAAATCGACTAGCTCAGTCATCCTATAATGCTCCTCATGTTTCGCTCTTGACCCTCTGCTAAACATTCGTTGTATTCTTTTCGTTCATTCTTTGGAAAATCCTTTGATTTATGCTCCAAACACAAGCCTAAGTCAAAATGTCTGACAAGTATTTTTTTTCTTTTTAGTGTGAAGACATCGCATGTATGATGACCCTCAGTGCACTCGTCAACCTTTCACTCTATATCATCCATGTACAATTTATCTCGAATCCGTGATCAATTCTTAAATTGCGAATTTGTCTCGTAGTCTCACCTTTTTTCGTTTTCATTCGTGCGTGCATCCGCCCACTTTTTGTGTCATCGCGTTTCAAGTTTAATCAAGAGGGGCTTTATTTGCTGTATTGTTACTCCTATTTTCAGGGCGACGACAGCTGTTTCACGAAATTGCGAAACGCGCGTGGCTTTTCGAGGAATGCGAAGGTAATGTGACATACTCATTAAGTTGTTCCTCTCTATCAGCGGCAAGCGTCACGAATTATACACTAGGCTAGATGTGCAATCTGTCTATTTCATCGTCGTCCTAGCTACGCGGCTTATCATTTCGAAATCCATTCAGTCTGAGCACGGCACACTCGACTAAAACCACATACTCAGCCGAAGGCAATTATTTATGAGTATATAGCGTAAAGGATTTTTTAGTGAAGCGCGGCCTGAGAAGTGCGAGTGCCCGCGGTTGGCTTCGGATAGTTTCGTTTTAACGTTTCATTAGAAGATACTACAAAAATTTATTCGATGGCACCTTGCTCACATCGTTCTTTTGGAAAGATAAAAGAGACACGACGCCAAGTCTTTATTGTCTCAAAAATTGATAGATGTAAGTACCACTCAGAAATTATTGTCTACTTTCTTTTTTATGTTGTCTGTCATCGTTACACAGACGGGAGATTGAATAGTATACTGCATACGTTTGGCTTTTTACCGAGGAAGCCCGAGAATTGTCTGCAGCTTGAAAAATTTGTTTTCTCGAATGTCAGTTTTTGGTCGTGTCTGGCGCAAAGAGGCCTTTAGCTGAATCTATAATTTTTCGAGTACGATGTTGATTTACTGATTCGGTATACCAGATTTTACGTGAAGGCAGGCTTCATTTATACATGTTACAGAAAAAAATTAATACGTTCTCTCCGGACCTCGCTTTCGAGAATCTCCGAAAAAAGTCGTATTTCAGCAAATCTTATCCTGTTTCATTGAAAACTTCTTCCCAGTATTGTCGTGACTCTTCAAGATCTCAGGTTTTGTCATTTTTAGACAAATTTGCAAAATCAGCTTATCTCGTTAAGTTTTATAGCTTTTTTTTTCGTTACGAAAGCGTTTTTATGTAGTAAAGTGCGACAAGTCGACTTAAACCTGCGAATGTTCGCACATTATTCAATCATGTATTTGGAGATGATGAGACAGTTGCTTTGCTGTGATAGGTCATGGTTTTTTTTGCCGTTGCCTTAGTTTGTCAAAGCTTAACTTTCCTAATTCGAATTCTTTCAATACGTCATTGATATATCTCTGTGGTGACACTCATAGAAGGGAGCTTTTCAATTCAGCAGACGACCTTGGACAACATAATCGCGAACACTCGAAACCTTTCAAATTGCATCTTCGTAACCGGTCGGGCTGATAATCTGACTCAGACTATGAACGGTTGACTCAGTCCATAACCTTCTGTACAAAAAGTTTTTGTATGATGAATGCTCAGCCATCTCGGTCTTAAATGCGCATTGTTAACATTACAACACACATGCTGTCTATCCAAGAACTCTTTTAACCTACTCTATCCGTCACATCAACCATCCGCCGCAAAGTCTATTTGTTACTATTTGCGATTTATTACACCATGCATAAAATACGATAAAGGTTACGCTACTGATTTATTGCTTGCTGGTATATTCGTAGCATCCGTGTAGGTTTCTAAACCCTCTTGGTCATTTGGAACCAATCTGTAGCTTTTGAAAGCCTTTGCTAATTCGTAGTGTAGCGCATTAGACGGCATGCAAAAGGTTTTCGATTGAAATAGCTGATCGATCTTGTCAATGAAAATCAGTCTCTTAAATACAGCTTCATCTAATCCTTGATTCAAAAGAAACCTTACCAGGTCATTAAATTCGCAGAATATTTAAAAAACAGGTTGTTATTATGCTCACACTTCCACGCTTTCCATTACTCTTCTCATAATTCATGAAGATCTCATTAATTAATTGTGGCAACCAATATTTTCGAAATCCTATGGATTGTGCATTGAATTGATAGAAACGTACGGTTCCATCACTGAATCATTGTTTGTATATGTGAATGTATGTATGTGAATTGAATTCATGACTCTTCCTATAGAGGCCAGCGTTGTTGCACTGATCGATTTTTATATCTCGAAATCATAAATGTCTGTTTAGGAAACCATGGTGATATCGTTATCTTCCGTTGCCCTTTCTCAATCGTTTTTTCGATTCAAGTCTCAACAACGTACAATATACTTCTCATAACCTCATCAGATTTTGCTATACATAAACGGTGTACCAAGATATATTTACTATATACGTAAGATATCGTAGCCATTGTCTTGTGAAGAGCATTAATTCTTTTCGAGAATCTTCAATACCACACTGATATCATATAACAATATCGAAGACATTCTTGCGCAAAAGAATATCTCCTTTTGTTTTTTTCTTGCTAGCATCTGTATGAAGTCATTCTAACGTTGAGCTACGTTGCAGGCTTTCTTCTAAGATTTCTTATAATGCTAATCAGCTGAAAGCCCGAAGAAAGCAATCTATCCTGGCGTGGCAGGATGTTTAGTCAAGAAATCATGCCCGTATCTTTTCCGCTTTTTATGTAGTGCCAGATCGCAAAGAAAAGTAGCGAATCTGTCATGTTCGAATAATGGCTGCAGGCAACCATAAAACCTCTGCCAATTCATAAAACACATGTCGATAGAGCGCAATTCCACCACTGAATGCAAATTTTCTCTTGTTGCTGATATCCTCTCGAATAGTTTCCTTTTTCATGCTGCATATGATGAGTGAGTGGATTTCTGAGCGTAACGGGACCTTTCTAGGTGAGAAACGTTATCGACAGGGCATGGTTGTCGGTCCTACTATGAACACCTCAACAAAATTCAGCGACAATTACGAGGTCAAGGAAGAACTTGGGAAGTGAGTTGCTTGCGCTATTGAAAAGCTCCAGTTTTTGTCTTTTTTCTCAAGCGTATAGCGCGAGAATCTATAAAGGCTTCCCATCTACTTTCAGAGGAGCATTTTCTGTTGTTCGACGGTGTGTACACAAGGCTACAGCGGCTGAATATGCCGCGAAAATTATTAACACAAAGAAGCTTTCTGCAAGGGATTTTCAAAAACTGGAACGAGAAGCACGAATTTGCAGAAAGCTGCAGCACCCAAATATAGGTAAATTTGTGAACATCCTTCTCTTTGTTGTCTCTATGTTCGTGAACTCCTGTCGTCTGCTACCATCAATTTCAACAACATAATATTAGTACTGAGTAGATATTTAGATCATCAAAGTTCTCCTCACTGTCTTCTTGTGTACATTTTTGAGCAATTCGACTCCCCATCACAATTTTTTCAGTTCGTCTACACGATAGTATCCAAGAGGAGTCGTTTCACTACCTAGTATTTGATCTGTGAGTTTCTGATAAAGATTAATCTCTTATCATTCATCACCTCAAAACTCTTTCCTTTCCGCCATGTAAACGGCCAAAATGGTCTGCGTTCATACTGCACTTCGTTTTGGGATAAAAAAGCAAAGGGGATATCGTTTTGCAAGGGGTGGAGCCACGATAAAAAAAATCAGCAAACATGTCTACGCTCTAGGTTCTACGCTTGAACATGTTCTTTTGCAAGCGCGCGAATCTCAAATGCACGATCCGTGCAAACAAATGGGTTGTTTAGGACGCCTTTATACCGCGCCGACAGCCGCCGCTAGCCGCCTTTGCACACCATTTCCGTATCCGGGCCCCAATATCGAAACCACGAATCTTGCTTAAACTTGGTTCAGGACGGTTATTGGCCATGCTGATTACAAATAGCACAATCTTTTAACGTTTTGAAAAGGTCTTGGAATACTGGGTTAGTGCGCAAAAGCGGCTATAGGCGGCTAGCGGCGGCTGCCGGCGCGGTATGAAGGCACCCTTACAGCGCACAAACAATCACATCCAAAGTTGGGCTATGTGCATGCAGTATCATTCCGTCCGCATTACGTAAAAAGTTTAAAAAACTCATGTGTTCTGACCATTCCCGAATATGTGGTTTCTAGACCAACGCGAAACTGATTTGGTTGGTTCGGAGAAAAATATCAAGAGTCAACATAATTGCTGGACATTTTATTTGGACGATTAGAGCGCTCAAAAATCTATTATATAGTGAAGAGAGCAGAGCAAACCATTGTCTTTCCATTTTCTTGAGCCAAAAATAGCATAAACATGCGCATTGGTAGATATCGCGCCCCGATTACATGCGTGTCAAGGTGTCCTTTGAACTGTGGCAACAATTGAATCGTAAACTGTTGTAGGTTACAGATATGAATGAAATTGTCCTCGAGATTTTTGAAATACTAACGCCAACAGAGCCTTCAATCAGACACCTCAAGCATGTTTTTATTTGCTCTTTTGTTATACTAATAACCAAAATATGCTTTCTTGCTTTTGTATTGTTATGTTGGTTTGAACAAAGGTTTTCTACTGATTTTGACATCAAAGGGGACTTCGTAGTTTTGCGAAGTTATAGGGGACTTCGTGTTCAAAAATGCTCCAAAACGCTTGTTGAGCCCTGCATGTAAACCTCTGAATTACGCTTTGTGAGAACTGCTGCATTTGGATGACGGTTAGTCGCTTGCAACAGCCTGTTTTGCTACTGCAATCAATTTATGGTCTCGGGCTTTCAGCAAGCAGAAAAATTTAAAATTTTTTATTTGATTAGAATTCTGGAAATGCTGCAGGTTTAATGTGATATTTCAGAGTCACCGGTGGTGAGCTGTTTGAGGACATTGTTGCCAGAGAATTCTATAGTGAAGCGGATGCAAGGTAAGTAAGCTTCCTCTTCAAAAAAATTGAGAACAAGTTTTTGGACTGTCAATAATGCTCGTCTCTTCCCGAACAGAGCATAAGATAAATCAAAAATAATCAAGTTTGTTTTGTTTTGGAGGAAGTCCTAAGTGATTTGACAAGGGAACCATGTTTAGTCGGACCTTCTTAAATAGATGTGTATCAAATTAAGGAATAAAATGCTGGTTCCAAAATCTGCCTTCTCATCTGCGGAACGTTTATGGACGAGGAGTTATGAGTTTGCACAAAAATTACATGTGCAAAAATTGTCGTGATAGTTTTTCTAGAGCTATAATGGAGCAATGATGATTATCAGAGCACTTTACTCGATAAATACTTTCAGTTAAAAACTGAACCACACTTGGTTGCTTTATTTAAGGGCGAGGAAAATTCTAGCAGGTCAATTTTTTGCTCCAATAAAAGCCCACAACTCCTCGGCCATAAACGTTCCGCAGGTAAGGAAGGCAGATTTGGACTCAGCGTTTTATGCTCTGTAGTATGGTGCACATCCCATTTAAAAACTACATTCCATCTAACCATTTCGATTAAACATGGTCCCTGGTGAGCTTACAAGTTACTTTGTGAAAGATTCAGTCACATAATGTTCAGCAAGAATGAAAATCTCTATTCCCACAGTCTTTTGTCGACCTTAGCTACCATTCTGCAGAGCTGGCTTCAACACAGGTTGCAGCATAGGGCGAATCAATGACGGCTTTTCACTATTATAGTATTACGATTAGACTTTCAGCCAATTGCGCCATTGTGATGACTGAAAATTCTTTAAAATAATGTGGAAAGTTTGTGGCAGGGTCTTCAGTATACTGTCATTGGACGACTTTCCACGATTCTTTGAACATCATAAATGATTAAATCACATTTTCGAGATTGTGGTAAGAGTTGGTACGGTATACCTCGCTTGACTCTCAATAGAAACATTACAGTAAAGTGAGTCTTTTATATTTAGAGTCAAGGACTCGGATTAGCCTAGTGTAAGGGTGCCATGTTCAATTCTTCTTTTTGAGGAGAAATGTGGCTTCTAATGGCTCGAAACTCTTTTATATCTCTAATGTGATAACACAGTAATGAAAAGGTCGTTGATTCATCCATACTGGAAATCTAAGTCAAAGCCAGCTATACAGAATGATACCCGAGTTCGGCAGAAGGCTCTGTGTTAAGAGAGATATTTGAGTCGAACAGTGGACATACTTCTGCACACCTGTATTGTACATTTCAAATTGAATTTCTGATTTATCGAAAAGTGGCAATGGTTGATGCCGAGAACGCGCCCCATCCTAAAAGATAGAAAATATTTGTACCATGTCGGGTTTCTCGATTTATAAAAAAATAATAATAATCACTCTTTCTTTTAGTTATTGTATTTGGCAAATCCTTGAAGGAGTTAATTACTGTCATCAACGCGGTGTTGTTCATAGAGATATGAAGGTTTGGAATTAGTATATAGTAGCTGACTACTGTCTGCTTGTATGGAGCTTTTACTCACCAGCTGATGATTTTGAGTGTGTTTATCTGTCCTTCGGTGTTTCTTAGTTTTCACAAATCAAAAGCTTCAATACGTAACATCACGCATGGGTTGCAGAATATGCTCTTTTATGAGACTTTCATGGGTAGAAAAACTGCTAGTGGACATTTATTTCATATGCAATTACTACTCGCTAATTCCATGAAATTCTTTATCACTGCGATATTCATGTAACTGTTTTGTTTTTGGAGTACAAAATAGGGTTTGCATCCTTAGCGGTGCAATTTTGCGCCATATTTGTGACTGTTATTAAAATGTCTTGAAGATTGATGCTCTTCGTTGTTCATCTAGAATAGGAGAAGTCGTATAGTTTTCTTTTGTCGCAAGAGCGATAGTATGAAACATTTACTATCATCATTATCTTTTCATGGTCTTTCATGCCGTGGCTACTTCGAAAGAACATTCGTCCACAATCCATCTTTAGTTGGCATACTACAGACGGTTTCATTTAGCCCAAATATAATTTCAATGGGATCGGTGTATCTTTAGTTGCTTTTAGTTCTACTAACCCTATGTGTGCCGTTTCAGTCACTGCATCCAGCAAATTCTCGAATCAATCGCTTACTGCCATCAAAACTGCATTGTGCACAGGGACTTAAAGGTATGCATACATCCCGTATCAGCGAGTTTACTCAGTAAAATAAGTGATTTTTGACGCCAGTTTCTTTCACTCAAGGTGAAATGTCTATGGTAAAAGTTTGCCTGTATCTGTATACAAGCCAACGATCCCAAATCAGAGTGGCGCTCTGGAGTGAACCGCAAGTCATTAGACGCATCTTTATGAGCTAATCCACCTCTGCCTTCCATGTCTGCGATGCATTTCACTGGAAGAGGTTATGAGCGTTTGAAAATATGGAGTCATTGGGGTTTTAATGCATAATATGCTTTGTACTTCAACTTGGGAGTGCATGGCTGGCATGATATTGAGTGTATTGAGTTAGTTCAAGGAATTCGCATCTAAAGGAAACAAAAATAGGTTTTTGGAATAACTAAGAAACAGCTAAGGCTCTTTGGAAAAAGCTATGGGCATTGAAAAGTCCAAATCTGGCAAGTATACAGCGGCACACCTCAAAAATTAGTTGATCAAAGACACTTCTTTGTATTTCCGTTACATGTGAATATTCCTTGAAATCATACACTCAATATCATGCTAGTCATGCAATCCTAAATTGGATTTCAAAGCATATTATCCATTGAAACCCCAATGACTTCACACAATTGACCGCTCATAACTTGAACGGCATCGCAGATATAGAAGGTAGATCTGGAATCAGCTGATCAAGACGCGTTCTAATGGTTTGCGGCTCATCCCAGTTTGCAACCCCAAGTTGGATCCCCTTGTAAGTCATACGCATTATAATTGCTTGCTGGATGAGTGATTTTAGCTATGGCTATGATTTGCACACCTGTCTTTCCGCTTTGCTTTCCGTTTTGGGTTCCTCTTGACTATTCTTTCAACTCTATCAACTTGAGCTTTGCTGTTCAGCCGGAAAATCTACTCCTTGCCAGTAAAGCAAAGGGCGCAGCAGTAAAGCTGGCTGATTTCGGCTTAGCCATCGAAGTTGGTCAAGATACTGAAGCATGGTTCGGATTTGCTGGAACGCCGGGATACCTTTCGCCGGAAGTGCTGAAGAAGGACCCGTATGGCAAACCAGTCGATATCTGGGCATGCGGTGAGTTCACTCGACATACGCGCTGGATAGAACTTCTTAAGCCTTCAAGAAATATTTCGAAATTTATCATTTTGAAACAAAGAGAATGTCAGCGGTGAACATGAACGAAGGTCGATTTCGTCATGATCAGGGTTGATAAGTAGACCTTCCAAAGCAGTGGATTTTGGCTATGATAAGCAATAATCTTGGCTCTGGATCGTTCTGCATTTGAAAACTCGAGTATCTTTGGCATGTGACAGGAGATAATATGTGCTGAATGGCAAATCTGCTATATATTATATAAAGATGTTATGTCGCATTCGAACATATAAATCATTTTAAAAAATTCAGAGGGGGCATAATATGTGGAAGAAATACGCTGCAAAGCGCGAATGGATTTCTTTGGCTTTCTTATATATTTGCTCAATGAAAATGCGATGCTTGTTTGGATTGGCCACTTCGTTTTCTGACCATTCCCTTGTTAGTATCAAAAACGTTTCCAATGGCTCATCTCAAGGCTGAAGATTTTCTCAATCGAAATGCTAGAAGATAGAGAGATAGACTACACGTGCGCTGAGTAAGCAAACGTAACCCTTTAGGGCACCTTGTAGTTGCTCATCTTGAAGTCTAGATAGCTTAAGGATCTGGGATAATTATGTCTTAGAATTGCAAGACATTGACTGCCTAACGCTCGCAGCTTGCCGAAAATACATTCGGAGCAGGGTCCTTAGAGGCACCGTCTGCCCATATACTTGTCTTCCATGTTTTTGTCGTTCCGGGGCATTCTCATGTCCCTGATTTCAAATATCGAAGCGAGAAGACGCAAAAATCACTAAAATCCTCGCTTTCTGCAAACCCCGAGGGTGGGTTCTCTGGAAGGTGATTGGTTGGATGCGCATATGGGCGGGACAAACGTCGCGCCCACCCAAAGGGGAGGAGCCAACGTTGAGAGAATCCGTCATTCGAAGCGATTTCGAGCAATTTTCTCGCGTCGGAAGCAACTTTTGGCAGCGCAAGTTGGGCAAATATACAGTTGGGTTCTTCGCTCCTGTTAGGCATCAAAATCTCATCGACCCCATCATGGGTGGACGATGCCTTTAAGACAACCCTGCTCGGGATATACTTTCTCCATAGTTTCATGAAATATATATTTTAGGTGTAATACTTTACATCTTGCTTGTCGGCTACCCTCCTTTTTGGGATGAGGACCAACACCGGCTCTACGCGCAGATCAAGGCTGGCGCCTACGATGTGAGTGAGCTTCTTGAAGTTGCTCATTTATAGCTAGATGAATTATGTAGCACTTGTCCTTTCTGCTGACTCTTTGATCAGTTCTCACTGATGTATTCCAAGATGTTGAATTAAGACAGATGAATTTTTCGGTCATTTTACTTTTGTTCAGTAAGGCACAAATGCCGCTCCGTCTACCATTGTTCTGTTGCAGTATCCAAGTCCCGAATGGGATACGGTGACTCCAGAGGCCAAAAGTCTGATCGATAGCATGTTGACGGTGAATCCGAAGAAACGAATCACCGCTGATCAAGCGCTCAAAGTGCCGTGGATATGTGTAGGTTTTGAGGTTTACTTCCTTGTTGAATGTTGAGCGACAAATCAATTTTAGAATCGTGAACGTGTAGCGTCTGTGATGCATCGACAAGATACTGTAGATTGTTTGAAGAAGTTCAATGCTAGGAGGAAACTCAAGGTATCATTTTAAGTTTTTATAGATAGGGAATAGGCTGATGCTTTTGTAGTATTTGCTCTGGAAAGTGTAAATAACTTTTTTTTGACTTATTAGCTAGTTAGACCGTGTGCCTTTTTTCGTCGTCGCATAGCTTTGATTTGTAGTAACTAGCTGAATTTCACCTTCAAAAATACAAGTTTGAGGAGCAAGTTCTGCTTTGAAACGGCTTGTGCAAGCCTTTTCGCAAAGCTGTAGGCGTTATTCGTTTTTGCCCTTATGCTTTGGTGGCCGTCAAATTTTCGTGAATATATATATTGATCTCCTATCGTTTTTTTTCTCAGGTACATTTTCTTCATTCCATTCTTCTTTGTAACTACTCCTGCATCTTTTGTTTGCGTTGTTTTCATAAGTACTTCTTTCATACGTGGTGATAAGTATGTTCATCGAATGTGAACTGAGCTCCTACGCAAACACTAGGCATTGGAGCTGTAATTCACTGTTCGATTGCTGGCATGCTTTTTTGAATTCGAATAAAAACATGCCGATATCGATATAAGGGAACGTTTAGCTTGTGATGCAGCACGGTTTTGATTTGTAGATGCTGCTCAGCTCAGCTTTGAGAACTTTTCCACTTTCGCTTTCCCTTAGAAATGTTCATTGCATGCGTTTTCTTTTCTTTCACTTTCTTTTTCCCATACTTCCTATCTTCACGAGGTTTTCTACAAAATCAAATGGGTACTCGAACAATTGCATGAACACAGTAGATCAGATGGATGTTGTAAAATTGAAGGAACGAACACTGTGACATCTAATGTTGTGCGTATTTTCCGTGAATCCAAATCCAACAATCCAAAAAAAAACTTGGATTTCACTTTTGAATGCGAGAAATTGGAACTGGTGGTTGCGTTTGACTGAGTCACCGTAAACTCTTCTTTCAGTACTTGTAAAAAAGCACATGAATAACATTTGTCAACCTCTGTGACTTTCTCCTCCGACTTTTTTCACCCTTGATTGTGCTTTTGTGTACCAATGTGTGCTGAGAGAACAACAATGTGCCCATGAAAGGCCGCGATCTCTGCCGTGAAAATGGTGACTCGAATCAGTGGCGTGCTGAGGACCAGCGATTCAGCGGGCAGTGTTGCTTCGAATGGGAGCGGACCCGAGCCTGGAACCTCATCGTCACAACCCAGCAGTCCACAGCACTCTACACAAGAGGTACACATCGTACACACCGTACTCGTATGCAATCCACTAATAGTAGCGCTTTACTTTGCTTGAGCGTCTTGATCTTGATGGTTCGGCATGAGATATCTTAAAAGTGTTCCTATTTATCACCAGAAAGTAGCATTCTGAGCTTGCAAGATCAAGGTCGTAACAGGGGCACTTGTTGTTTCACATAACCTGCCTCGCTTGCTTTCGCTCTCACCGTGTGGTCGCTACAGCGTGTGCGCCCTTGTATTGAATGCTTGCTTCGGTAAAGTTCAACCTGACCCTCAACGACATATCGAGAGAATTATATACACGAGTATCTTTAGCTAATGATGGGGTCTAAATAGAATGTTCCGTCAAAGAGGGACCGTTGGCTTTGTGTTGGTCATGCGTGAGGTGATGACATGAACACTAATGGTGATCAAATAAGATCTCTCAGGTGGCAGGAAGAATTTTTGCTTATTTGAGCTATCTCGGTTCTAATTCCGAATTGTGTCCTGAGTATCGCAAAAGTAGCGAAAGAACCCCTATAATTATGCCATTTCGAAATTGCGCATTTTACTGCATAAAGAAGAAAAAATGCAGCTGTAGCCTGGACCAGAGCTGGTGGCTTCGGCCATTCTTCTGAAGCGTTCTTTTACTTCACTTTTCGCCCCAGCGCTTGGGCTAAGTTTACACAGAGTGCACTCTGCCTTAGAATCATGAAATCTTCGAAGCCACTACTTGCCCGGACATTGCCTTTGAAGTCAATGGATCGGCAGAAAGGGCCCTTCTCGGAAATTGGTGGATTTAGGTAGTAGACCCCTAAGTACACTGTAGCCCAAACCCCACCTGCCAATTCGTGCGCCGAATTTCGAAAAATGCGCTTTGAAACTGCACCAACCCCCCCTCCACCCCCCATTTTTTGAATCCAGAAACGTGTTGGTGTCCTGATTAATCGTCGGGTTAGATGCTGAACTTTTGTCATCCTCTTATTGTGTCGTTACATGTTGTGTAGTTGTACTGTACTCACCCTAGTCAAAAAAGCAAGTTGATTGATATCAGACTCCATAAGATTCATGTTTCCTCATTAATAAGTGCTGGATTTGAAAATGTCTGGCGTGTTTTAAGAGTTCCGTTCGCATTGGCAGAGTTTGCCGATTCTATATCACAAATGTGGTAGCTATGTTATCTACTTGCTTTACAGTCGTTAACTCCGCACTCACCCCATCTTCTTTCTCAGTTCTTTTTTTTTTGTGTTCCCAGTTTCGCTCGCTTTTTTGTGTTTCTTTTCTAACGTAGACTCTTGATCTCCAGTTTTCATCATTGCCTTTCGCTTTCCTAGGTATCAATAGATTAACTGTTTCCGCTTCTCAGCACACGAATATGTTCGGTATGCACCGGCATCATTCTACCTTTCACATTTTTGCACGCTTATGTGATGTACACGGCATAGTCGCAAACGCTATGGGGTTATCAGGGCCATGGCTAAACTTACCCATGTATTCTGAGCCCTTAATTACTTTGCATATTTCTTTTGCTTCTTGCCGTTACCCACCCTCACTACTACTTATATAATTTCAGGGTGCGATCCTCACGACAATGATCGCAGCTCGCCATCTATCGAGTAAGTTGAATGTAAGAATGAGATGGGTGTGGATGGTTGATGGTAGAATGTGTGGTAGAAATGTGGTTGAAAGGGGTATGGCATATCAACGTAGAGTATCCTCTTACTCATCCATAAGTAACCATAAAAATTCAAAGGTCTGCTCTTGACTTATTTGCGGTCTCATTTTTAAATTTATGTCCGTTATTGGCTGTTGTTTCACTAGGTCTGTGGAAAGTTGTGACGTAAGTTCCTCGCTAAATCTCGATTTTGACGGATTCTGAATTGTCGAGAGGGGTTCGAAGTGCAACATCGAATGCTCGAGGATTTCTTGTAATGGAAGTAAGAAACAGAAGCGGTCCACACAATCATCGAACTTCAATTTTTTCGCTTTGAAGTATTTAGCCGTGGAGCAAAGAGTGAAATTCATCGTAATCGTATAGTATAAGTCTAACTACCTGAAGAGAAAGTGCTCCACTTTTATCAAAACTACGTCTGATCCATTACAGTCTCATCTCTATCATGCAATTTCTGAATCGGGGTGAGCTTTACGGCTTATCCTAAACGATATTTTAACAAGATTGAAAAATCTCCATTTTCCGCTCAAAAGGCGACTATATAGCCATGCTAGAGAACTCCTTTTCCCTACCCTCTCTGCTTCCATATGATCTCAAGCTGTGCTTCTCTTCTACCATAGCAAGATCTAGAAAAAGGTTGGTGGGCGAGTTGAGCTTCAGACTTGAATTGTTTTTGAGTTGTGGTAAAAATTTCTTGCTAGCGCATGCTGAATTTTCCATCGATCAAAGGCCATGTCACTGATCTGAAATACTGGAAGAGATTCCGTATCGTTCAACAACGAAGTCTGCAATCGCTTCGTTTGTATCTCAGCAACATCCAAAACATTTTTCATGCTCTAGGAGATATTTGGTTAGATAAGATTTTCAAGTCGAATCTCATAGTCTGGAGTTTCGAACTTTAACGTGTCTTGAATATCTATACTGGCTCGTTTTTCGCTGTACCCGCTACGCTATTATTTTTGAAATTGCATAATAATTCTATTTCCGCCAAAAATTTCTTTGCAAGGACAGACTTGTGTTTCTTGAACTATGTCCCGGCGTTCCAAGTTTCGCTTTGCTCTGAACTTAGTTGAATAATTCATAGGTCATACTATTGCATATGACGCATATATTTGGCACTAAAATGTATGTAGACGGAAATTATTCCTGAATACGTCTTCTGACAACACATCTTGTGAGTTATTGTTCTTCCACACTGCTAAACCTCCTATTGATTAGAGTGAGCATGCGTTTCTTCCGAGCTCTTTATTAACAAGGCGCTCTTGCTAATATACGATAATATCACAATGGAACAGAGATAATCCGTTAAAGTAAACGATTAGAGATTGTCCGCGAGGATTATCTAGTGAAACTGATTACCGATGCAAATCAATATTCATCTGTTTTGCTCGTCATGCGATGGCTCTCCTCACAAAGCTTTTCTCAAACAATCTCAAACAATGCCGAATCTCATGGTCTGCGTTGATTTTGACGTAGGAGTGATTTTTATATCAATTCCGCAGTGTGTCGGTGCAGCGGTTGGAATGATGTGATGGGCTAGAACACAGGAAGCCAGTTTATCCAATATGAAACTTCGCTTACACTATATTTTTCATCTCCATCTCATATGTAAGCTCTTTATGTTCTCTATTTTCTAGCGAGCTCTAGGATTAAGTAAGGTTGGGCCGTTGAGATTTGAAATGAATGCTTTCAAGGCCCACTTTTCTTGTGCACCGTGCATTCATCCTTCTACGTAGCTTTATCAATTCTGTTTTCCGTCACTTTCATGGAATTTGTCTGCAACTGTGGGAATAATACAGAGAAGTAAGACATATGTTGTTTGTACTCATCTGGCCAGCTCGGAAATGCAAAATGTAATCACCTGCATTAGGTCAATGTCTGGATTTCGTATTATACTGCCAACCACCATACCCTTTGCCAATATTTTTCTTTCTGCCCAGTCTTTCTCCCGGATTTAAACGCACTATCACGCGTGGAAAAGGAGACGATGCGGCATAATTGCTGAAGGTTTTTTTACATGAGTATGGCTTATCTAAGTGAAGCAAAATGAGCTTTGGCATATCGTTCGTCGTTTTTCCATCTCTAATCACATTAGCCATGAAGAAAGGGCTCGTTATCTTCAGTACGTAAAGTAGGCTATTGTTCAGCGGCTGCCTGCTGCAATTCTTTGAAGACTTCTGTTTCTGCACTCACAATGACGGTAGCTGATTAATGCGAACTTTTCGATATAATCGATTTTGCTATATGTGCAGATGTGGGTGGTATGATCCCACATAGCTAGCGAACCATAAATCCACGTTTGATCCATTATATCGCCACCTGGTTCCACCAATCGCTCACTCTCCGCACATTCGTTTCTCTACTAGCGATGTGCAAAAAGTCGAGGGTGAAGCTGGTGGTAGTCGTGGCGGCGGCTGTGGTAGAGGGGAGGACGTGAGGTTGTAACACTCAGTCAGGTCGCGTTGACATTGTCGACAAGAGCGGCCTGGCTGGCTCAGCCTCGACTACCTCCATTAAGCCTGGAATTCCGCATCATACAAGCCGTTTGTCTAGTGCTACCCAATTCAGCACCCATATTGCCTCAGCATTGCATTTTTTTCATTTTTGAAACAAGGCTATCTAGTGTTTGTTGTGCTGCTCGTTTCCATCTCAGCCTGATGTTTGGCGATCGATGCTTTTTTTTATCATAAGTTTCGCGCTTTGCTCCTTTGAATCAGCTGCGAAACAGAAGCTGAGTATTTTGTCTCTAATTATATCTTTGCCCAATGCATCATGCCTTGAACTCCTCAGAAAGAAGCCGTATTCATAATGCTACATCGATAATCCTTCCATGCCCTTCGTCTATCCCGCAGAACGGTAATGTCATATGATCATGCTTTCATTTGGGAAGCCGTATTCTTTTTGCCGTAGGACTTTGAGCCATAGACCAGCTTAAAAGCCTCTTTCAATAAAACAAATTATCTTGAACTCAGATAATAAATCCCTAGATTTTTATTTCTCCGCTCAGTCTCTGCTAATCGTGTGTCTATTCTTTAGTCCAGTGAACCAAGCGCAAAATAGATTGTGGTAAGTAAAAAAATGCTAAATTTTGAGATGAACCAGCATTGTTGCAATTTTTCATTGTTCGTATCTTCGTTCATCGCCTCTGCATGTCCATAGTTTGGCGACATAATAAGGTTTGCGGTCATTGCTGTCGGAAATGATTCTCATCAGGCATGTTATCCAAATTTGGCCAAATTGGCTTGCCTATGCTTTTTGTGAGCATGCAGTATGTATGCATAGGTGCTGCCTTTCTCTTGGCACCATTTTTTTGAGAAAGTTGTAGAAAGAATGTTTTTCGCTTCACATGTTTGTTCATATCTAGACGGCTAAAAGTTTATGAAGCAGCCGTTCCTCGGAAACCTGCGAAGCGGTTCAGGTTTCGTAAACAAGCACTGATGCACTTTTTGAATTGCTTGTTTCCTAGTTCTTTTCAACAGCTATGATTTGACAGCAGCTTATGGTTTTATTTCCATTGCGAGTGCTTGCTCGTTCGATGTTACGATTAGCTTTGAATTTGAAAAATCAGATTTGCTCGGTTCCAGTTCAAATTCTGAAGTTTTTCTGTGCGTGCTCGGCTTTCTCTTTGGGACTATTGGCACTACATATAGGCGCCCTCTTTTCGAACGAATTTTTTGATTACAGATGATATCGAGCAAGTCTATTCACAAAAGCGCTTTCCTTGGCGAGCTGCTAATCCACAGAAATCTAGCCGCTTAGCGGCGTTCCCCGGCACTCTGCGTCGCCTTCATTGTTTGATCAAGCGCAATATCTGCCTGCTTGTCATGGAACTCGTCATCTTTGTCGAGAGTGATTGTGCAGCGATCCACCGCTCATGCAATGTCTTTATGCCTCGTATGCCACGAGCCTTACGTTGTCGCACACGTCCAGCATGTATCAAAATTTTACTTAAAAGGTTTCTATTGTGAAGTTATTTCTTTTTCCGATTATGGCTGACGACGAGCTCTACAACTAAGCGCTGCTACCTGCTACCTGCTTCATCGATTCGAGAATGGCAGCTGGCCAACAAAGCAAGTACCGTTTGACGGATGTACTAGGAGGATTGTCCGACTTAATTTCGAGAAGGAGGTCTCCGTCTCTTTCGCGCAAAAAACGCAAAGAAGTTCTGAGCAATGAGTCTCACCGCAAAGGCAGTGCACCGGCAAGCTTGAACCAGATGTTCGTGCCAATTGTAGAATTGGTTGTGGCCTCTGCTGAATCGCCAGGAATGTCAAGGCGAACAGCATCGCCCATGCGACAGCTGGATGTTGCGAAAACACCGGCACCGTCAACATTGCCACAGGCACTTCGAACTGAGGATGTTGCCGGTGAGGATCAATACGATATTAGATCTAGAATCTCACAAGTGAGAATTGTCAAGTCAATATTAAATCAGAAATTGATGTGTAGCAATGTACTGGGCTTGAGACGCTGATTTGGTGGTGCTTTTCACACCTGCACAACAATGCTGTGAATAGTTATGAGCTTTCTTTACGCATGAATAATATGCCACATATGGGAGGGAAAAGAGCGTTTGAAAAGCATTTTGCTTGCAAGAGAATGAGACTGTTAAGATGATCTGAGAGAATTTATAGTGTTTCGTTTGCTGACAAATTCATAACATATGACTAGTTGAAGAAGAGTTTTTCTTCTAAAAAAACGAACTTTCCCTGCTTAGTCTGACGGACTCGTCACCCCTAAAACTTCCACTTCGACCATGTACCCATTTCTAGCCATTAATTTACTGGCTGCTATTCGTGGCTCGGTTTTTACTCCACTCTTGGAGATGTTAGTAAGTGTGTAACTTTTGTCTCTATGTATATATGAAGGTTTCGCAAAACAAGCGTCTCCTATTACAATGTCTAGGCTAGAGTTCAGTTTATACTATTAACGGCGTATACCGCG